CACCCCGTCATCAGACATAACAGTGTTTTTAGATTAATTGTCAGCTTGCTCCAGTGTAAAATTATTTTGAAACGCCGTATCTTCTCATTAGCATTCAATGGGTATTTTTGAAAGGTAAAGAAGAGAATCTAATCAGATCAGCGACAGTTTATCTACCATCAACATATTTCCTTAGATTAACTGTTTTGGACAAAATATTCACGACAAGTACCTTTGAATTTAAGACGAACGCCATCAATGATAAAACTTATCCTAACAGCAGAATGTATGTGATAAAGTGCTGATTGAGATTGATGTCTTGGAAATATATCGATAAATCTAGTGATCTTATGGAAAGTATTAAAGCTATATATGGTGTCTGAGCTAAAAAAATAAAAAATACGAGATTAATTAACGACGTTGGATCCTGATATTTAAAGTCTTAAACTTTTTTTGCCAAGTATATTTTTAGTTTCTACGTACATAGCTTAATTAAAATTCAGATGAAAAAATGCGGGTCAATATGCTTCTTTTGGCGCTACAGTACATTTAATATGAATATTTTGCACTGAAATTTGTGTCTTAAATAAAAATTACATCTTCGACGTCTTCTCCAATATTTTTATCAAATTAAAGCATGAAAGAAAATAAACTCTAAGTCTATTAAAAAAGACACTTTAAAATTGTGACTAAGAAAAAGTTTCAAATTGCTTCGCATAATCAATCAATTGACCTTTCTGCACTAATAAAATGTCATTTTTCTGGCATTGAAACTTTAATAAGCAAAACAATTATTATTAAGTCTTAAACTTTTTCAGAATTTAAGTAAAAGGCCAAAGTTATCTTGAATATTTAGAAAAGAACGTCAACAGTGGGGGTATATGATGTAAATTTTCAGATGTTACTGAAAACGTGTCAATTTTACGTTAAAATTGGCTCATTTTTTCCCCAGATTTTCAGAATATATTTACTATATTTGTCACACTTCGTTGAAAGAATTAATAAGAAATAATTAAATGGATATTTCTTAACCAGCATAACACATTTCACTGCAAAAAACAGCTTTGTGTGCAACCAGCATGAAAAAATAGGAATCTAAAATTAACAGTACTGTTAGAGTTCAAAAGGGAAAAACTAATCATTTTCTTCTAAACAACCTTCCGCCACAAAATATAGTTCCTAGCTTAATTCTACTTGAATGGAATTTAATCGCGTTTTTTCATTGATTATAGTTCACTTTGCATTGTAGAATTCAAATTTAAAGTTAGAACTTAAAAATGATGCAAAATTTTATAAATAAAGGACAGGACCAAAATCCGCTCAAACGCTCCAGGATCGAACGTCCGAAGTGTAGATTTACATTTACGTTCAAAATCAATTTTTCGCTGATTTTGATTTAAAATATCCTCATGTTACTATAGTTAAATTGACTCTAAACTATGTCTGAAATTTACTTCCGAGTCAGAAAAAATAGGTAATTGTTTTATTTGAAATCTGGGAAATTTATGAAAAGCGATTGATTTAAATTGTGTAATTTACAGGAAAGTCCTGCTGTTTTCGAGGTCCGTGTTTGCTCTGCTCTTATTTTGTATTGTTTTGTGGACATTGATGATATTGAATACTGTTCGTTATCTCCATATCCTTCATCTTTCTAATTTTAGTTAGTCTGAACTTATCAAAAATACGTCATTAATGACTTTAATATAAAAAAAATAGATTCTTTAATTTCTCTTTCGTCATTCAGATGACTGCATCAATGACATTTCTAACCGAGACAGATTACTGGCAGATAAGACGGATAATGTGGTGTTACATATATTTTTTTGGTCGTTAAAAAACCTTATTAGAAACTTAATATTTGGTAATATTTTGGCTGACGTTTTTCATAGCAATTGCTTATTGCAAGCCTTTGTTTTTATACTAAAGAGAACGTAATATTTTGTCAACCCGAACAATGAAATATGGAGAGAGGGAGGAGTATTCAAGCCCACAGCGCATTACAAATCGGGAGCTGAGCAAACATGTATCTCCAAAAACATCAGAGGTTTGATCATGATGCCATGGAGGAGTGAGCATCCTCCGCCGATCGGTCACACTAGCCCTATGCTTCTTGTCATGATCGGGGAAAATAAAATAATCCGTACACAATTCAGTGTAACTAATAGCCTACCAATTAGTACGAAAATCCTAAGTTTTGTATTGTTTTACGGACTTCGATATTGAATACTGTTCGTTATCTCCATATCCTTTCTTACTTTTGTCTCAATGAAAGCCCTGCTGGTTTGACTATTCGGCAGGATACTGACTCTTCCTTGTCAGCTGATCCCACCACTGGCAATTCCAGGGATCAGTTTCTGTGCCCTGTTCACAGATTTGAATTAATTTTCCTTTAGATTGGTTACATTTCATTATCTTCGTTTTTTATATGATAAATGATATTAACATGCATATCTCTTAAATTTTCTTTTTAATATGTATCATATTAGGAATACAGCAGAATTTTTTGATTCTTAATATAAAATCGTGTTAACAATAATATCGCAGATTTCATGGAAAGGGGAAACTAAGTTAATCAAAATTGCAAAAAATCAAACTACATTTGGAATAATAAAGAAAACAAACAGGGATCAACATTATTATTTTTTTTTTAATTTAATATGAAACTTCGTGAAATCTTTGTTATGGATACACAACTATGTAATGTATATTTTTCGACATGTGTTTTAAATGTAGCGATGATTTTTGAAAAACAGTTTGTTAAATTTGAAGCATATTATTTAAATTCATTGCCTTTTGGTCCATGGTTCAAGGTCCAGGGATCGTGTTGTTCTCACACTGAGAATACATTAGATCATTGTCTAAATCTTTTTCCTTACTAGGAGGGATGAACAAAATGCATCAATGGTTATTAAAACACTGAAACCTTTACCAAATTTCGAAATTCATGACCCATCGGCTAATAAGGCAGTCCCAAGCTAGACCTGTGGTAGTCATAAATTGAAAACGCATTATGTCATTGAAAATCCCCGTTTCTGTAGATATGTAGTCAATGCAACAAACTTATTATGATTACATTGTATAGTTGCTGTTAACTAAATTTCTAAAATTGATAATCCTTGGGTCCATGTTTAGGCCATTGGGAGGAGGCTAAGTTGGTCAAATATTGAAATATTCCTAATCGTCTTTATAGCTTAAATATCATTTATATATATTATTTTATATCACCTTGTATAAAAATGTGATATATATTTATTCTTTTCCCTGCTCTTAGTTCATATGCATGTATCTTTATTTACTATAATCAGGTAAGAGTACAACAGTAACGATGTTTATTCCATAAATTTCAACTTCCCTTACTTATGCAGCAATATACCTCCATAACCTGCATACGGGGTTTATATTTCTCAGTTGATTCGATACGCAAGAGCATGCTTTATGTATGTACAATTTCTAAAACGAGGTAAATTATTGACAAACAAGTGTATGAAACAAGAATAACAGCAGTCTCGTTTAAAGTAATCATTTCGTAAGTTCAATGGTCGATACAATGACTGTCAGCAAATGCAATTTATCATTGATTCAAATGCTGTCTGAAGTTTTTCATACTTATTGTTAGGCCATTATTAGCACATTGAATTGCCGACGGATTTTTCCGTTATTTTCTCATCATGATAAGAAGCATACGGCGATTGAGACCGGTCGGCAGGGGATGCTCCCTCCTCCATGGCACCTGGTCCCACCTCTGATGTTTTGGAAGTCCATGTTTGCTCTGCTCCTATTTCGTATTGTTTTATGGACTTTGATATTGAATACTGTTCGTTACCTCCATATCCTTCATTCGCATAATGGCATAATATATGTTAAAGTGCATTTCTGTTTTTTCCTCATTATCCATAGGATCATATTATGTTATATATTTTGCAACAGAAATAACGAAAAAGTAATTGATAGTTGATATATTTAGTCATTGCCTCTTTGCTGAATGAATGATTTTTTAAACTACGTTCTAAAAAAAAGATGTTGATCAAACTTATTTAAATTAAAGTGCTTTCCTAACATGATTTTTTTAAAAAAAAAAAAAAAAAAAAAAAAAAAAAACTTCAAATACCATCTAAAAAACGTGTGGTTGCCCTCTCCCGATCGACTGACTAAAAATGTCCTTACTCTAAACCTTTCTGTTACTTCAAGGAAACAAAATGTTTTTCATTTTGGCTTTTATATCGATACGCGAGAGCATGCTCTACGTATGAACATTTTCTAAATGGAGGTAAATTATTGACAAACAAGTTGCTAAAACAAGAATATCAATATGGTTCTATTGTCGGTACAATCACAATCGACGGATTTTCCCGTTATTTCCCGATGATGACAAGGAGCACACGGCGGGTGTGCCGGTCAGCAGCTGGGGATTCATAGTACCTGATCCCACCTCTGATGACTTGGAGGTCCGTGTTTACTCTGCTACAATTTTGTATTGTTAGATGGACATCTGAGGTTTATGGTGGCATATTTCTGCCATTCAGATAACTTTTGTCAACATAAGATATCACGTCAAGTCAAGATAACTATCGCGTCAAGTCATGAAACTTTCTGGTTTGTCATCAAACACCGACTTTTATCTTGTCCAGTCAAGATAAGCTATCGTATTCTTGCGATAGCTATCTCGCCAAAACGAGATAATTTGTCTTGTATCGCGATTAAAAGTTATCTCGTCATGTCAAGATAGCTGTTGCAACAAAACGTGATAGCTTATCTTGACTTGACAAGATATAAGTCGGTCTTTGACGACAAACCAGAAAGCTATCATCACTTGACGAGATAGTTATCTTGACTTGACATGATAAGTTATGTTGACAAAAAATTATGTGGATGGCATAAATATGCCACCATATTACTCCTAACATATTTCCATCCTGTACGGCTCCTTGTCAGTAGTGAACAAATTCATATGTGGTGTATCTTAGTATGGACAAAGCATCAATTATTTGTAAATTTGAATATTTTTTTCTTTTGTCTTTTAGAGTTTGTCAATATGATGGAGAAACCCTCACACTCCTCCAACAATACGTGATGCTTGTTATCATCAATGACCTGTTACAGAAACTGCGTCATAAACGAAGAGAATTATCATTTTAAGGAAATAGTCTGTGCAGCTGACTTTTCTCCCTTTATTGAAAAGCCAGAAAGCACAAGGAACACCGTTTTATTTTTATTGATTAATATGTTTGTATATTACATTGTGGACACATTGCTTTTAAATGTATTTACCGTAGATGTAAGCATTATACTCATTATTTAATTTTACGTCATACAGTCAAATTCAGTTGCCTTGACATATTTTCCATTCACGACCTTTTTTTTTAATTTCATAACCTTCAGTTCACGGCTACACTTGATATAACTGTTCCCAATAAAGATTTAAATACGTTAAAACAAATTCTTTCTAATTTGTTTTGTTTTCTTTTATGCCTCATTTCTCCTAAATGAAATCTCTCATCGCCTTTTTAACATTTAATTTAAATCTGCTATCTCTTCAGTCGTCAAACTGGCCCTGTTGTTCAAGGGCTAGTTGTCTTTTATTATCTACTGAAAAGAAATTAGATTAAAAAAAGTTCTCAAGAGAATATGAACGGAGTCTAAACTAAGGTCTTTGTATTTTATCCATAGTTGACCAATTAACCGGAATGCCGCGGCTATCTAATTATAATTAGTGTTTTAATTTAAATCTTAATTTCCGTATCATATGATTGAGTCAGGAGGATTCGTCTCGTGACTTCCTAAAGACTGCTTGGATGGAATCTTTTCTTTTGATCTTTAAATAAATCGGGGTTCTGGGGTGTAATGGATATTTTTAAATTAATTAACCATTAAATTAACAACAATAAAATTCAGTGATCGGTCAAGTACAGACCTTATGATAAAAATACAGAAATGTTTAATAACTACTACATGGTTTTGCAAAGCGATGTGCCAAAGCGTCAATATTTGAAAGCATGACTGCACACTGTAGAAAACTTGGTATTTGACAAAAGAAGAAGTTATTGTAAGTGAACAATATCTGTAAATTGACAGTGAAGAAAACAATGGTGTAATTGTGTCTCTTTAACAAGAGTTCAAACAATGACAACGTATAATTTACAGTATTTGTAACTGCCCGCATTACTGCTATATCACTTCTTTGGAACTTACAATGTCGAACTACAAAACAAGACTTCAGGAGGCTTAAAATAATTACAGGCCCCGGTATGTATGTAATTTTGTTTTGTAAAAAAGTTCCTCGGTTTACAATATTTGTATTAAGTATAATTCATACCCCTATAATTTTCTCGATTAATTGATTATTTCAAATGAATATATATAGGTCTCGCTGGAAAACTTCAATAAACAAATAGTGAGCTTTTCAAATACATTACATGCATTATTGATATTGCAAGTTTGTTCAACAAATAAAAACACTTTAAATCAATTTGAAATTAGCTTACATCCGAGTAATAAGATACAAGGGCCTGGAAGCTGTGTGTTAAATTCCCCTGTTGTTGGAATGCTATTGATGTTTTTGTTTTGCTATTTTACAGGAAATGGACAACTTATCAGAGGAACAAATTGCAGGTACTTAAAAATACTAATCTCCAATGTACGTATTTATTTTGCTAGAATTTCTTTCCCTTTGCCAAATTTTTAAACTCAGAAATTCAGATTATTTGCTTTTCGGTGAATTATGCTGCATGTATGTTGAACCACACATGGGTTGTGTTCGGGTGTAATATCTTGTTTGCTATCCTTGAGCCTTTGGCAAAAGAATAAATAACACACAACTCTGACTTTTATACTAATTTTCTCTTCCATCTTGTGTAATAAGTGTGCGAAAAAATTCTCCAGTGAGAAATTATCCATTAAATAATTGAATTATCAGTTTTGTTTTTTTATATTGCTGATTCGTACTTGACAATACGGCTGTTTTCTTTTATTATTTATATTTTAATTATATCTTTTCCTTAATAAACAAAAGGACAAATAAACACCTTGAATATAATTCTACAAGTTGTAATACAATCTATCCCATAATTATCTTTCTTAGGAGGATTTTTTTTTTCGAAATCGTGTGTCAGTTTTAGATATTTTCGTACAATTCTCAGTTAACCTTGAACTTTCAGTTAGGTGTGACTTTCTCGACACTACGTAATTAGCGTCTCTCAAATAGTGAATAGATTCTCATTGGTTAAAGAGACACCGTGACGCACTAAGGGGAAAATTGACAAACGTAGAACTTTTGCATGACCCGAGTAAATTTTGTTCAATTCCTAAAAGTATTAGGTTTCAAAAAATTACACGTTTCAGAACCTAAAAAATCCATTTTTATGGAGAAAAATAAAAGTGATAATGATTTCAGTATGCCCTATAACGAAAATATTGCTAAATACTTCTTCCTCCCTATGTACGCGTGCGCAGAAAAGTTGAATAAGTTACCATAGTTACCATGGTCTCAAGTACCCAGGAATGAATGTAAGTAGACCAAAAATTTTGATGCAATTGTTTTAAAAAGTTGTTAGAACATATCTCTCACCTTTGCATGCCCCAGTTGAATGTTGTGTACAAGTTTGAGCTAAAAATAAAAGTAGCATGACCTTGACATAAACGAAAACTACGAAACGGCAGATACAACCTTTGTTTTCCCGGCGCTTGTATTGTGCAGTCTTTTCATAATATAGTGGCATATTTCTGCCCCCTACATGCAAGATAAGTTATGTTAAAATGCAAGAAAATTATGTCAACATGCAAGATAATTATGTTGACATGCAAGTTACAAATCTTTCAAGGAAATCTGATTTAAATATGGGTAAAATACCATGGTGACGCCCGTATCTTACATCGTAGATGCAAGATACAACATAATTATGAGAAGATGCGATTTACTTATGTTAACATGCAAAATAATTATGTTGACATGAAAAATATTTATGTCAACATGCGAGTTAATTATGTAGACATGCAACTTATTAATGTCAACATGCAAGATACTTATGTTAACAAGCGAGATACTTATGTTAACATGCGAGATATTATGTAGACAAGCAGGATATTTATGTTCACATGCAACTTATTTATGTCAACATGCAAAATAATAACTTGCATATCAACTTACATATCTTGCATGTTAACATAATTATTTTACATGTTGACATAAATAAGTTGCATGTTGACATCATCATCTTGCATGTTAACATAAATAAGTCGCATGTTGACATAATTATGTTGCATGTTGACATAAATAAGTCGCATGTTGACATAAGTATCTTGCATGTTGACATAAAAATTCGCAAGTCTACATAATTATCTTGCATACTGCTTCTAAAATGTCAGATACAGGCATTAGTAAGTAAATTTACAGATATTTAAATTATATTTTCTTATAAGATTGGTAACATGCATGTCAACATAATTAACTGGCATGTTGACATAAATATGTTGCATGTCTATATAATTATGTTGCATGTTAACATAATTTATTTTGCATGTAGGGGGCAGAAATATGCCACCATAAGATTCTTTCTTTAAAGTGCAGTTTAATTGTCATATCTTTTCTATAAGTCTTTCTCTGAATGCTACAGATATCTTCAAAGAAGCACATGATTTGACTCATGGTGTTACTTTAAGAAATTAAAAACATCAATAACTTTGAATTGTTGTTAACAACAATGAGACGACTTAAGCCCAAACAATTTGCCGTACGAAATGCAATCATTGGATCATTGCTACACTCGTTGACATTCACCCGAATGTATATTTCAACAGTGAATGAAAGGCTGTGTAAATTTCAGACGCTAATTATGTAACGTTGAGAATGTCACGCCTTACTGAAAGTCCAAGGTTGACCGAGAATTGTACTAAATACCCACAACAATCGATTTCAATTTGAAAAACTATATCTTTAACGAATTCTTAAGATAAATCAAAATCTTTACAAAGAATTATAGCACACCCAAATAAAGATTCTTCTAAGCCTATTTCCTTACTCCTCAATATCGGCACGCAGCAGTTAAGACTACAGGACTACTGAACAACATCGTATTCGAGAATTGGTATCTATCAGTTGTGAATTCAAAAAATATCCGAGAAACTTTAAGAGAATTATAAATCACACTTTTACCAAAATCAAAAGCATTAAAACTTACATTTTCCAACACTTTATACAACCATTCTTAACGATCGATTTAAGTTCAGTCTTTTTTTATATCATAGATTTTTTTCCTGTAAAAATGTGACTTCTTCATTAACATAACTTGTCATTTGTCATTTGCAGAATAATTTTGAGACAAAAATTCTGACTGACATATTAGTATTTCAAAGCTGCTTTAAAGAAACATGAAAACACTTCTTTGGTACCTATTCCAACCTCTTTTACAGTTCTAGATCTCTGTTTCCTCTGCTCTGCAGTAGAAAAGTACATTTGTTCGCTTTTCATATGTACTTTTGAACTTTATTACTTTTTTTATAATCGTCATTTATTTATATATATTGAATTAGTAGTTATTCATTATATATTCCTTGAAAGGTAACCGAATTTCATTCTTTCATGTGATAAATCGGAGTTTCTGGTAATTTAACTAGTTTCCATTATGATTTATCACCTATTGTAGATCATAACAATCCTTGTTTACAATATAGTTTCATATTTTATAAACGAATGTGACAATTTATCAGCTGTCTTTCCAGATAAATTATTTTTTCTGTAAATGAAATTTTACATGCCGATAATTGATAGTTCCCTGGCAAGTTGGACCTCATTATTGAGAAAGAAAGTTGGCACTCACACAAACACGTGCATCACTATATCTCCTCAAACTTCAATAGGATATTTTTTTACATACCTTTTATATGTTACAAAAAATAAACTACATGTATGCTATGATTTATTATATTTAATTCTATATTTCAAACAGCATAAATATTCGACATTGATCCCGGTACTCCGTTGCGCGGGAATGCATGTAATTACTTGTTAAACTTTTGTAACCAATGAATTACTCATCCAAACTCAATTACCAAACATTTCCAGCTCAGCAAGGCGTTACTATATCGACGCTTAAATCAATTGATAACAAAAATAAAATTAAACTAGAAACTCTTGTTGCTACAGCAACAAAAACGGTCTTCCGTTCTCCTCTATTTATCTGCATGAATGAGCTTTTATCTATGTTAAAAAAGGCATATGATATTTAAAATGATTTCAGGAAAACAAACGGCCGGAGGTGTAACTTACCAAGATTCTCGACGTTACTTTAGACAATTATAGTCTTAATAACATTTACAAAAATCATTTTAAACAATTCTTTTATCACTATCTATGACGACTGGAAGTGATGTCGGACGCATTTTACCCTATATCTGTTGCCCAATCTTCATGGTTTATTATTCATATAAGTTTAGTGTCTTGATCTGTTGCAGTTTAAGAGATCTCATTAGACGTCGCGCATAGTATTGGGGTTTGAAATTGCGTAACGTGTAACACTGTAAACAACGGGCGTTAGTATTTTTGGTCATTTTATCGTTAAGGCTACATGGATTTTTCTGCCAATTTGTACCAATCTTCTATCATGTCTTGTAATGATGTCACACAAAATTCATTGATAAATTTTCAATATACTGACCGATTCCGACTGTTTGTAAAATTGGAAGCATTCTGTAATATGTCGTGATTTTGACGAATAATAAGAAGAGATGGAATGTTTGGTAAAGGTTTTTTTGCTATATATCATGTTCTTTTCGTAAAACTAAAATGATAAATGAAATGTGCAAATCAAGAAGTAGTTAAATGTTTCTTTCAAAAATTATCAGCAAGTTACAAGAGAGATTGATAAAGCGATTTTGATGTCTAGTCAGTTTTGTTACTACGACACAAATATGCATAAAATGGTATATAACGGAACGTATATCATTAATGTGAGCTGTATTCTCTTTTTAATGGAAAAACTTGTAACAGATAAAATCATAACCTTCAAATGGGCAATTAAATAAAATTTTGTTTTTAAAGAAACATTAATGACTTTGGCATTTTTAAGAAAACACGAGTAGAATTCGGATGTCTAGTCTAATTTGTTACGCCTTAATTTTTTGACTTTTTACGCTTAAACGACGTATGCAACTTAACGTCAGAAATGAATATTTTGACGTTACGAAATCAACCCCAATTCTGTGCGCGACGTCTAATGTTAACTTCTCATTTTGAGGACAAGAAATCACGTGAACGGAAGTAAATTTTTTGAAAAGATATTTGAGGTTACTCTAGACATTTCAGTCTGAATATGTCCTAAAATCATTTCAAATACTCTTTTTATAAAAGGGATTTATGGGATAGTATGATACTAAATTTATGCAGTTTTTCTCTCATAACCGGAAGTTGTCGTTTCTGTTTCCAGTGGGACTGACATATTTCAAAACTACAAATAAGATGCTATAATGTATTACTAAGAAAGATTCCATGAAGAAAAGCTGAAATTTTCGATTTATTTGATCACTTTCTGTGATAACCGGAAGTGACGGCGGACGCTGTTAACCCAAATGGATTTGCCTACTCATCAAGATCTACCATTCCTATAACATTGGTGTCTTAATCTCTTAGCGTTTACGAGATCTAGCTATGATAACTTCTCATTTTGAGGACAGGAAATCACGCGACCGGAAGTGAATTTTAAAAAGATATTTGACGTTACTGTAGACATATGCAGTCTGAATAGCATATCCAAAAATTAACAAATACTTTTTCTATAAAAAGAATTTATGGGAAAGAAAAATACTCAAATTATGTAGTTTTTCTCTTATAGCCCGGAGTTGTCGTTTTTGTTTACGTTGGGACTGATATATTTTGAAACCACAAATACGATACTATAATGTGATGCAAAAAAAGTTTCATGAAAGAAAAGTTGAATTTTTTTTATTTTTTGATCACTTCCTGTGACGACCGGAAGTGACAATGGACGGTCTTAACCCCAATGATTTTGTCTACTCATCATGATGTACCACTCCGCTAAGTTTGGTGTCTTAATCTCTTACCGTGTACAAGATCTAGCTATGATAACTTCTCATTTTGAGGACAGGAAAGCACGCGACCGGAAGTGAATTTTACGAAGATATTTGACGTTACCGTAGATATTTGCAGTCTAAATAACATACCTAAAAATCATTACAAATACTTTATCTATAAAAAAATTTTATGGGAAAGAAAAGTACTCTAATTATGTACTTTTCTCTTATTACCGGAAGTTGTCGATTTTGTTTCCGGTTGGACCGATATAATTCGAAGCTACAAATATGATGCTATGATGTGATGCAAAAAAAATTTCAGAAAAGAAAAGTTGAAATTTTCGATTTCTTAGATCACTTCCTGTGACGACCGGAAGTGACGCCGGACGATCTTAACCCAGATGGGCTCGCCTACTTATCAAGATCTTTTACTCATAAGTTTGGTGTCTTCATTTCTTACCGTTTCTGAGATATGACTCAGACAAAACTATTTTGAAAAAAGCGGAAATCGGACATATCGGACGACCAGAAGTGAATTTAGAAAAACTAAAAACTACATTTGTGAGATATTTTCACTCTCTATCATTCCTGAAAATTTCATGAGAATCTGTCCAGTCATCTCTGAGAAATCGTCAAAAAAAAAGAAAAGGGAACAAAAATAATAGGAAAAAGAAAAAGAAACAGTAGAATCACTATAAGGTCTTCCATCTGAAACGGAAGACCTTAATAATAAAAAGAAACAGTGGAATCACTATAAGGTCTTCCGTCTGAAATGGAAGACCTTGAATATTGCAGTCAATGCATGTGTTCCTGAGAACTTTGTTGTATATGTACGATTTTGTAAGTTTTTGATTCTTATTGTATTTCACTTTTTTTAGAAATGAGAGAAATTTTCAGTCTTTTTGACAAAGACTGTGACGGTTTTATAGATGTACGAGAACTGGGAAAAGTTTTAAGATCTATGGGGCTTAATCCCACAGAGGTGGAAATAGAGGATCTTATCAACCAGTACAGGGACGTAGATGGTAAGATATAACAATGCTGTACATTAAAAAAAAATCATTTTCAAAATTATTATCCTGAAAAGTGCTATATACAGGTATCTTTAAAGACTTCTTCTTATTAGTCTACTATTTTATATACAACAATTAGAGAATTTACCACATACAAAGATTTTCGCTACACGACATAAGCAATGGTTTATCTAAATTATCAGTTTTAATATGTAGAATATCTAAACTGACAGATTTAAGTAATGAGACATGAAGGTACTAGAAAAAACTTTAATTTCAATACTACGGTTATGATACTGTATTGTCCATGTTTTATGCCACAGAAAACACAACTGAAGACGACTCGGAAGGTAGCCTTTTTTATTTAGTAAAGCATCTTAATCTATGGTGATAGATATGAGGGAATGGGTTTTAGACATGGCACATATATTATTATTTTTTATTGAATCGAGTTGTATGAAAAAGAAATGTAATAAAATCCTACTGCACTGTGTTTTGGCAACGAAAGAAGGCAACTGGGTTCGAGGTTTGAAGGGTTTTTAGCTTCTTCAAGCGAAGCAAACTATCTTTTCTTTCTATTTCATTCTTTCTATTTTTAATATGCTTTATACATTTTAGTGCTATTTTGGTGCATCAGATTTGGAAGATTTTATTTACATATCCAAAAATATACATGTATATCCAAAAATTTATGTAGTGATCGACCGCAAAATATCTTTAGTTACCGCGATATATACCTGCACAGTTCTTTTTTGTATACTGAATATGACAACATAATTACATTTTTTAAAGCAATATGAGCTGCAACTTTGATGTCAGAAGTTTTTGTTGCAAAATTGTAAAAAACTATATATTTCAATGAAAGAAAAATAACATTAAAAAACTTCCATTGTTCATATTTGCGATGGAAGAACTGTTTATAAGCTTCTATTGAATCAAAGTCACATTATGGTCATCCTGTACAATAATGATTTCTTATATAAAACTGTATATTGGATTGTATATAGTAGCCTTTTACTGCTTTATTGATCATGAAGGTTTAAGTTACAGACAGATTTATCATAACACATTTTAACAGCAAAATAAAATTTTCAACAATACAGCTCATATTGCTTTAAACCTTGACAATAATTGCCGAAATTTCTATCTGCAAACTAAGGACAAAATATTTATTATACTAATGAAAAATTAAAATCCCAATATGCCTTAAAATATATATTCCAGTTACTAATTTCTATTTTTTTAAAATTCAGATGGCAAACTTGACTTTTCTGAAGTTATGAAAATTTTGGCAATAAAATCAAAGGAGCCACCAGAGACGGAAGAATATTTACGCGAGGCGTTCCGAACGTTTGATAAGGACGGTAGTGGGAACATAACGTTAATAGAACTCCGGCAAATAATGACTAATCATGGAGAAAAACTGACGGATGAAGAAGTCGCAGAACTCATTCAAGAGGCAGACGATGGAAAAGGGGAAGTTCATTATGAAGGTAAAAAAAAAATCTCTGCTTCAATTGTTGACTTCTTAAGAGTTTACCTTCTGTATTATCATTGAATTCTGTCAATATTGAATATATAAGTATTTGAAACTTTTTTCTTTTTTTTTTTAGACTTTGTGAAGCTGATCCTAAGCAAGTGAAAAATTTAAATCATTAATCTTAGATGACAAGTAATAAAAAATGACATACTAGAAAATAATATGTGGAAGTCGTTAAAGTGCTACTACATGTACATGTAATAGAGGATACTGTCTTTGTAAAAGCAAGCACAAAAAAGAGTACGCACAAAAATCTTTCAGATTTTGAAATCACTGAAAATGTTTATACATATATCCGGTACATGTGTGAATAGAAGTCTAATACTTGTTAATTGAAAAATATTCCGAAAAGGACAACCTATATTTAAAACACGTGTTAACAAGAGTAAAAAATATTGCTTATCAATGGTCATCACTCACCTTTTCAGATGTTAACCACAAAGAAAGAAGTTTTTAAATCAAAAGAAGCTAAGCTATATTGCAGAGACAAAAACTGTAACATTTGATTTCAAATCTAAGAAAATTTATGATTTTAAACATTTTCAAACATATAAATCGTCAAATCATTTTTTCACTCTTAATAAAACAGATATTCTTGATGATTAGCAAAAAAAACATAGTTTGGGCAGCATAGAATACGCAATATGAATGAGAAATGGAATTCGCATTTTTTCCTTGTGCACTGCCACCTCTACGAAATAAATTACTTTCTTAAAATTCATTTGAGAGATGATTCTACCAACGAGTCCTCTGAAATTGATTTTAATAAAGTGCTGGAATTTCTCATTGACAATAAGTAATCTTTGGAGATTATGCATATTCTATGGTTGTTATAACGACCTTGTTTGTAAACTGAAACTATCGTTAGGACCTACACTTTCTCGCCTATTTTTATGAATTGTAAGTCATTTGTTTTTGTAATAAATTGTATATTATTATGTTATTTTCATTAATTATTTAATTACGGAGTACTCCGTACAGCTGATCGATACATAGGGGTCTTAGTGGTTTCCATTAGTCTACAGAGGGGTCTTACTTCTTCTAGTCACCGGATCCCACAAGAAATGTCTCGAGGTGTCTTATTTTGCACTGTTCACGATCTGTTGTCTTTACTGCGTTTATGAGATTGATATCTAATAGTATTTTCTCTAAATATTGTAAGCATGGTCTGAACATAGCCAAGGTGTTTCGGATTTTCTTCTAAAACAACAGCAAACACTTTGTTTTTGTTTTTTTGCATCGATTTTGAGTCATTGGAATGGAAAATTTATGGTATACGATTTATGAACAACTTTATGAACCTGACAATCTGTTATACATGCACTATTTAGAATATAAAATATCAATTCAAAAATAAATCTAATTTCATCTTCACAGCCTTAGCAACTATAATGCTTGTTTTTTTGACCAAGTTAACCAAGTTACAGTTGAAGTTGATGGCAATGTCATACCAAGTCACGAGTGCACGATCAAGAAAAATGCTGTAAAACATTTAAATTAAATATATATACATATATATATATATATAGAGAGAGAGAGAGAGAGAGAAAGCATGGAGAGAAAGCATATATTTCGCCTCAGCCCGGGGTTGATATATATATATCAAGGCAAGTCTAAAACCTTGCTTTATATATATGCCCTATACACGGTCATATATAGATAGAGTTATTTTGACATTAGTTTAAACAGAGGATTGTTACCAATACATGTTGTAATGAAATTAATTATTGTATATATATATATATATATTGACTCGAAAAACAGTTCTCGGTCGTTGAACAGTAACCAATGCACTCAAGTATATTAGCTCTAATTGCTTTATGAATACACATAACAAGAAGCATTTATAATGAAACATATGGAAATTACGAACAGTATTCAAGATTAAAAATCCGTAAAACAAAACAAATAGGAGCAGAGCAAACACGGACCTCCAAAACATCAGAGGTGGGGTCAGGTGCCATGGAGGAGTGAGCATCCCCTACCGACCGGTCACACCCGCCCTTGCCATGATTGGAAAATAACGGGAAAATCCGTCGACCGTCAATTCAGTGTGTAAATAATTTAAGTTAAGTATACTTATGCATTCATGTCCTGAGTGTCACTATTGATGCATCCCACCTTATTAAAACTTTGATAAGTTTAATAAATGTTTTTGTATTCTATTTTTAAAAAATCTTTCCGTTGCAAGGTGTGACTTTTTTTCAGATCCATTTTTCAATGACCTTCCAAGATCAATGACTTCTGTTTCATGTGTAATTTTATAAAATGAATTTGCATCAATTTGATTAGATAACAGGTAAGTTTATGCTAGTGTCATCATGTGAAGCTGTTCTTTCTTCACTTATATCCTATCTCATATTTTGAGGTGGGATCAGATACCATCGAGAAGTAAATATTCTTTGTCGACCGATTACACACGCTCTATGATCTTTGTCATGATCAGGTAAAGGCAGAATCCGTTGACATAAAAAATGACAATCACGTCGTTGTTCAGCATTTGATTTAACGGTAGATTGCATTTGTGTCAGATGTGTCAGATTCTGTGGTATCTTTTATTCAAGCTCACTGGGTTATATCTCAGCTATATTAGAATGGAATGAAATATATGGACATAACAAACAGTATTCAAGCTCAAAGGTCAATAAAACAATACAAAGTAGGACCCGAGCAAACACGGACCTCCAAAACATCAGAAGTGAGATAAGGTGCCATGGAGGAGTGAGGAGTGGGCATCTCCTTCCGAACGTTCACATCCGCCGTGTGTTCCTTGTCATGATCGGGAAATAACGGAAATTATAGCCTAACAAATTAGTTTGAAATACGTTAGTCAGTATTTGATTCAATGATGAATTGTATTTGCTGAGAAAGTCATTGAATCGATCACAGAAATTACGAAATGATGAATTTAAACGACACCGCTGATTTCCTTGTTTCATCAACTTGTTCGTTAATAATTTACATCGTTTATGAAATTGTACATAAGTAGAGTAAGCACTTGCGTATTGAATCAACCGAGTGATATAAACCCCATATGCAGGTGAAAGTATATAGCCGCATAAGTAAGGGGAGGTGAAATCATAAAGCTTGATTGTTAGACTACCATTTACGTCTTTTTTCAAGTAAAATATGCAAGTATGAAACATAAATGTGTAAAATCAAAAAAAAACCTTGTTAATTGTCAATACGTCGTCGATATGTCTAAATGTTTGTTGAAGGCAACAGCATGTATTTTTCTTTTCACGTTAAATATTTTGAACAAATTCTGCTTCATGAGAATGCGAAAATAGGTCTGCTAATGATTGGGCGCACTTAGTAGCCATTCGAATTCCATTTTTTTTTTTACAATATAATTTTGCAGAAAACCAATGACAAGGTAGGTAAATTTTTGAATTCAATTTTTTAAAAAGACAGCTGTCAATGATGGCAAAAAGCCTGGACTTTATTGCCTGAAGTTTATCGTGGGGAATAGTTGTATAGAATGTTGAACAGTCGTAAGTTTTTAAGCTGTCAATTTTCGTTAAATTTTGTGATTTCAAATGTCCCAAAAGTTCCTTGGGATTTTTAGGTAATCACATCTGATTTAAACCACTTCTCAAATACATTATTGCACAATACTCCTGAAGTTTTCACTGCTGTTATTGAAGAGTAAATAAAGAGGCTTGGTTTGCCACTTATTGGAACCTGCTGTGTATCTTTATAAGGATTTTATGCAGTTTTGGAATCAAATATAGGTTAGCTTTTCTTATGAAGATTTCTTAAAACACCATTTAAATAAAATTACATTATCTCCCCCTTTAAAGTAGTTCGAGATCTTTATTTTACCAATCTTGAATTCCCTTTCCCAAGAGATACTTAGGCAATGGGGTTGTTGTTGAAAATGATCCAGTGGTACATGTACTGGATAAGTTGTTGAATTGGATAAAAGTTTACATATAAGAGATCCAAAATGAGATTAGAAAACCCCGGAGTCTTTCAGATTAGTTGAACAAAATTATATGACATTTATGACATCTTATCGAGGTCAGAATTTATATTCTGCCATCATACAGTATAGAAAGAGTTAACTTAACTTTTTATGTATATTTTGGATAGAGCCTCATCTTTCTGTCCGATTGACCTTTGAATTTTGTGAAAGCGATGATGTATATTTACATTAGCTACACTCACTTATTGGTTTAATAAGCTGACGCCATCCCTATAACATTTCAAAAAACAACATGTCTCCATCTTTTGAGACATTCACCTCTCACATAAAAAGTTACTATACTGCTTCAACAGAAAAGCTCAAAGATGTATTAAATTCAAAGACTAAAATATACAAATGCGATATTTGGAATTTATACGTAATATTCCAAGATGAAGAAAAATCGATAAATACACTGTGATATACTTGTTTTTACTCTAACAATTATAACCAATCCCTCCAAGAACCGCAGACAGTCAAACAAAAATAAATCTGTGGTATTCATTAATATTATTGGAAATACTACATGAATTCACTTCTGATGAAAGTATGAAATTGGAATATTTCTTGATTTTCCTGACATTTTGTGAGTATTGAGAGTATATATATCTTTTATTAACAAAACCAAAAAAAAAAATCGTCTCTTTTTTCAATTTCTTAAGAATTGTAAAATAGAAACAGTCTTGGGTTTCGATTTTAATATTAAAAATATGTTTTAACAATAAAATATTCTAATTTTGTTAGAATTTTTATAATGTTATTTAAATGTAATTTTGCATTATATTTTGCTGTCCTTGCTATCTATAGATAAGCAATTATTTTTAAATAGAAGCAAAACAAATTATGAATGATATCGATGTGTAAAATTAATATTATATATGTGGGCGGATCAAAGGATCTAACTTAAATTAAATTGTTTATGTATTTTCATTCTAGTGATACTTGTACTAATGATAGACATCCATCTCGTAGGTGCCAAGAACGAATGTTTTTTTTTTTCTCGGATTATCACCAGTGTTAGATGGGCTTGTCCAGTGTGATCTTTCTCTATCTCAATGAGTATATCTACGACACGAACAGTGTTTTTGTGAAATCGAAACAAATATAGAATACATAAATAAATAAGTAAATTGGACACAATATATATATGTGTGTATTGATTTAATTAGATGTATATTAAACCTGTGGTACAGTAATCTTTATAGAAAATCCCTGCACTTTTTCGTGAAAAAATACCACTCACCACAATGGTTACTAGTATGTGCAATTTCAAAAAATGTGCAGCCTTTTAACTGGACTTTCAGATGTAGTGACGCGCGACGATTTTTTTTTCAATTTGCAGTAGTTATCAGAAAGTATTTTGGCTGACTTTTCGAATCAATTGTAGTCCTCTGTTTTCATACTTAATTTGACTCAGTAGCGTCTACTTGTTCAATATTTCTGAATCACGATGGCTGGGGCGGTAAATAGGGGATACTTACATGTGTTCCTTCGAGGCACCCGATTCTACTCTGGAATTCCAAGGGTCCCTGTCTTAAGCTTATGGCTTGTTCACATATTTGTATTGTTTGAAGATTTGCTTTAGATTGATTTAATTGATTTAATAATTCCTGTAAATATTATTTTGAACCACATCAATGGCTTTAGGCATTACTCTTTAGAATTGAAGATAAAATTTTGCATGGTTAAGAAACAAGATTAATTGCTTCTTCAAATTAAATAAAAACGGAATTTGATTTTTTGTGTTATCTAACTTGATAACCCATATCTCCTTTTCAATGGTCATCTTTGAAAATTGATGTGGTCTTCCAAAATGACCACAAAGGTGTTCATTATTGACAACATCAATATTCTTTATGAGCCATTTTCCTTTGCAAAGACAACCATTCTTAAGGTAAAATATGGTTTCTTCACTGAAAAAAAAAACTGTTCAAAAATAGTCTTTACCGAGAAAGTCATAATTAAGGATAACGTAATGAAAAAAAAATCCATAATTAAAGATTTGATTTTGATATGTCGAAAGAC